AGTGCACCTGGAGAGGACCCATCTATTATTTTGAAGGCAGGTTTCTTGGAAAAAGTTTTAATCCAGTTTGATTTTTATTTTCATTTCATGTTGGCAATGTTTGAATCTTAAACCATGCACGATAAGACTTTTTTCCATGAAGCCAAAATGTAGTGTTTCAATAGAAGAAATATGAGCCATTAGCCATGTATAATCAAGAGGGATGTTGTTTTTGTTTCTGTTTGAACTTAGTGCTTATGAGATTATTTATTCAGAAACCAGAGGTGGTTACTTTTGTTCTTCATGATATAAAATATCATGCAGTCTTGCCAGCTGTCTGGCCTTATCCCATTGTAGATTTGCAACTATAATGAAATATTGATGAAAAAGAACAGTTAATAATTAATATTTCAACTCAACTAAACCAAATTTATGTTTAATAAAAATAACCTAAGAGCATTTGAGTTTTGTGGAGATATCTGGAACAACCGATTTAAGATGGGTTTATGAATTATAAAAGCCACAATTGTTTTCTAAAACAGGTGGAAGTTCTGTTACCGCTTATCTATTGGGAAAGATTTTGTGTGGAGAGTACTAAAATAAAAGTAAGGAATCCTTATTTAGTCTGAGTTAGATACCTTCTAGTGATGCTTTTGAAAAATTTGTTCCGCAAGCATATCAGTCAAAGGAACCTTGTATTAGAAGTACGGGTAAGTTGACGGTAGCTCTGGCTTTGCCCATAATTAACTGCGCAAGCTTGAAACATGTACTTACCAATCTGAGTATGCTCTTATTAAATTGAAGGAGTTGGATATTGTACAAGGGTACTTCAAAAATTTGTGGAAAGATTAGTATTATCTTTCAATTCTATTTTTCCATGAACTTTTTGAAGTACCCTTGTATTAGATGGCTCAGGCTGTCATAACAAGATACCATGGATTGGGTGGTTAAGTTTTTTTTCTTACAGTCTGGAGGCTAGAAGTCCAAGATCAGGGTGTTGTCAGGGTTGGTGAGGTCTCTCTTCCCGCCTTGTAAATGGTCACCTCATGATGTCCTCACATTGCCTTTTTTCTGTGCATGTGTAGGAAGAGAGCACTCTGGGGTCTGTCTCTTCCTCTGTTTTTATTTTTTTTAGTAGAAACATCATGACTTGTTTATTTACTTATTTTTTTACATTCAAAGGTGTTGCGGAGCAGTGGGAGGGGTAGGGAAACAGAGGTGGAGGTGGAGGGGGGTGGGGCTGGCCTATGGACAGTTCCTTCACTGGCCTGGATGCCAAGAGCTGTGGGGCATGGCTGAGGCATGAGGGTACCCCCACTCTAGCTTGGGAGCCTGAGGGGTTTCCAGTGGCTCGGTTGTCACTGGGTTGGGTGTGGACTTCGGGGAGGCATGGTGGAGACCCTCGACCCTCCCACCCTGGCTTAAGAGGGGGCTTCTGGCTCTTTTAGGTTTTATAGATGTTCTTTGGTGGTGTTAGACCTTTACTGGTTAGTATCAGAACTTTGTCTCTGATCTGTGGGTGTTTTGTGTTTTCTTTCAGTTCTGTGTTGGATTATTAACTACTCCCACCACTTAAACTCTGCACTGGAACTAATTTGTTGTCCTTTGCTTACTTCTAAAATGGGGGAAATTCCTGTGGGAACCAGCACTTGAGCCCTGTGGTTGAACTAAATTGTTTCTTTGCTGCTGATTCTCTGGGGAAGGCTTTTTGTGCAGCTCAGGTTTCAATGGTTGACCCTTGTACATACTTCTGGGTCTTGTGAGGTATGGTACACCTGAGTTGTGTGGAAATTCTGGTCTGGACCTGAGTCTTTTCAGTGAACTGCACCCCCTGCAGATCTGTACTCCTGACCAGTCTACATTGAAGGGGCCTGTGCTGATTGGAGGGGAATCAGCTGTCCATGCTATGTCCCAATGTTCCTCCAGTGGACCAGTCTCCCCCACCCCCTGCACTCCAGATACTTCCCATGGGGTGGCTGTGCACCAGTCCCTTGAGATGACTCACTGGCCTCTGAGTGCCTCCTCACTCCTATGTGGGTCCATGGGAACCCTGTCAGTGGTCTTGCTGGCCTGGGGTCCACCAAGGCCCTGCTCTCCTCTGCAATCTCCAAGCAACTTCACACAAAGGGCACAGCAGCAGCTCTTGCTCTGTGTGCTCACCATGGCCAGCCTTGAAGTGGCTCGGGCCCAAAATGGTCAGAGAGGTCCCTTCTTTCTCTCATTGCAGCTTCTCTTGCCTTCATGAACTCCATAGGTCTCTCTGTAAGGGTCCTGAGTGCAAGAGCTTCTGTCTCATAGAGCTGGTGTACAACAGCCTGGAAGCTCTCCAAACCCCGTGGTTTTTCTGGAGGCTTCATTAAGTAGGCATGATTGACTATTAACACAATCTCCAGCTCCTCTCCCCTTCTTGCAGGCTGGGGTATGGGGTTGAAAGCTCCAAGCTTAGAATCATGGCTTGGTCTTTCTGGTGACCAGCCCCCATCCAGGAGCCCACCAAGAGTCACCTCATTAGAACAAAATATTCCCCTATTACCCAGGAACTTCCAAGGGATTTAGGAGCTCTGTGTCAGGAACTGGGGTCAAAGATCAAATATTAGAACAAAAGATATTCCTAGCACCCCTACTGCTCAGGCAAGTCTAAGGGATTTAGGAGTTCTATGCCAGAAAACAGGGCAGAGACCAAATATATATTTTTTATTATGTCACAGCCCCTAATGTCCCTAAACATTGCAGGATGTGTTACTGTAAAATCAAAATTGCTCCTATGATGGGCTAGTGAGTGTCTGGCATGCTGAAACTACTTTAGTTATAATTTGGTTAATAATATACTAAATTTGTTTTTTAAATTAAATTTTAAATAGAATTCTAGAATTCCTTGAGAAAAATGTTAAGTACAAGAGATTAAAAGTAATTTTTCAGACTGCTGTAGGAAAGTAGATGGCTGAGTGTAGTTTAATAAACAAGTGTTAATTAATGCGTTTCCAAATATATTTGAATGTAAACATTGTAATTTTCTACGTTTCTGACCCCTTCTAGGCATGCACATGTACACACACAAGCACACAGGCAGATGCATAATTTTTTGCTGCTATCATATATACAGGATTTGGGGCAAATCCAACAGTATCAACCTCCTGTTTCCAAAAGCGAGTTCTGTTGGAATCCTGTGCCGTGAAAATTATTAGCATTACTTCATTGTGGAAACACATTTATATATACTTAGGAGCAGAAGTTGCATTTCATCTGTTGTAATCAAACTTCACTCTGATGCAGCTCTTGATCCTACATAAGAATTTGTGGATAGGATTAAGTTTCTCTTATTTCTGTTTTGTTTGAAGACATTTCATATTGTGTATTTGTGCTGTATTCGTTTGCCTGTTGGGTATGATAAAAGCTTTATTATCAATCACCATATGTGAAACCGTGGCCAATACTAGAATGCCTGTTCTTAGATAACCTTGAAGCTTCATTCAACAATGAAAGTGTTGTAGTGTAGCTAACAATTATTGAGTTCTTATCATGAGCCAGGCTCTGTCTCACAAGTATTAGTTTGTGTTAATAATCACAAGTATTAACTCATTTAATTAACAACAACCCACGTGGGTTAGGTATGACTGTTATTACTGCTTTACAAATGAGGGAACTGACATACAAAGAAATGAAACTTGCCCAAGACCACTTAAAAATAAATGCCGAGGCCAGGATTCCAATTCACACACTCTGGCTACAAAGTCTGTATGCATAACCATAATGCCATTTCTCTAAACCTTTTAGCATTACTATTATGATTACTGATTTTTGTCAAATCAGATGATACAAAATTTAAAGGATAGACTTAAAAACCTGGTGATACCTCAGTCTCTTCTAGTATCCTCGGTGCAGTTCTGGATGTTTCCTTATGGTAGAGATGACCAGAAAACCAGTTGTCTCACCATTCTGGTCACTCTATCACCCTGTATACATATAGAATCTAGTTGATACTGATGAAAAGACTTATTATACACGTTTTTGAGCAAAATGAAGTTGTGATATTGAAGCAGATTATCTCGATTAGTTGCCTATAGCATTCATTTTTATGCAGAATCCGAATAGCCTACACTTTATCATCCTAGTGTCTTAGCCAGCTTGCACTGCAGTAAAGCTTATCACAATAGCTTTTTTACGAGGAGTCTTCAAAAATTTGTATTATTTCAATTCTGTTTTCCATGAATTTTTTGAAGTATTCTCCTCTATATGCGTACTTTCATAACAGGAGGATAGTGGGTCAGTTATGCCTCTGCAGCACTTGGCTTACCTGAGACGATGCTTGTCTTTATTCTATAGCCCGGTGCAAGGAGTTGCAACTTTTAATCCTTCAAGTCCCAGCATTTTTGTATTTCCTTTATTTTTTATATCCCTGCTTGCTTTGGCAAATACTTTATTGAATTTATCTTTAAAATTTTTTTAAAAATAAAATGCAGCTAGTAATCAACACTCACTACTAACATTCTGTCTCAAAATTTTCCTTGCACAAAGCCCAAATTATTTTTTCCCAGTTTATTTTACCAAATGTTTTGCTGTAATAATCAGCCATTGCTGCAGTAACAAACAATCCTGCTATCTCATTCGCTAGCAATAGCAAACATTTATTTGCTGCTGGCTTTTCATGAGTGATTTGGGTTGGCTGCTGTACTGTTGTGCTTGGCTTGGTTCAGTTCAGCATCTATTCTCAGTCCAGACTCCAGGCTGAAGGAATAGTGACTTTGGGATAAAGTATTCACATATTAGAGGGCAGTGTCAAACCATGCAGCCTCATTTGAAGTGCTCACATTTCACTGGTCAAAGTCAGTCAGTGGATTAAGCCTGAAATGTAGGGAAGGGATTCTTCATCCACAGGGAGGTCTCTGCCCTGGGAGGGGAGCAAACAAAAGTAGTCAGGTGTATGCACATACTCAATCTACCTCGCCCAGGACAGGACGTAGTTAAAATTTGATCTAAAATGATGTATTTTCTCCTTGTTTTGTTTATATTGAATCTTGTAGGTTCAGGTATAAATGAAGATTCCAAAGACATAACTGCCTACCACACAGTGTTTCTTACAGCCATATTAGGAGGAACAATAGTCATTGTCATTGGATTTTTTGCTGTACTCCTCTGTTATTGCAGGTAAGAACAACATTGATCATTGTGTATAAACAGAAAAATATCAAATTGTAGTATCATTTCATTATATTCTATGCATTACAAAGTTTACTTGTAGAAATATTTTAATCTTTATGTAGATTAAAAATAAATTTGGATATATTCTAACAGTAGCATTGTATATATGATGTGCATATTGTGATTTTTTTAAAAATGAACCTTCTAGATTATAACTTTGAAATATTTTGCCTTTTCTTCTACTCTAGGGATAAGTGTGGTACTCCACAGAAAAGAGAAAGAAATATCACTAAACTTGAGATCCTCAAGAGAGACCAGACAACTTCAACAACACACATAAATCACATCAGTTCAGTCAAAGTTGCATTAAAATCTGAGGACAAGTCGCAGTTATTCAATGTCAAAAACTCATATAGTCCTCAAAAAAAGGAACCTTCCAAGACAGAAGCAGAAGAAAGAGTTTCCATGGTAAAAACTCGGGACAATTTTAAAATCTACAATGAGGATGTTTCATTTCTATCAGGCAATCAAAATAATTACTCAAGAAACCCAACACAGTCTTTGGAGCCCATTGTAGGGTCCAAACAACCTAAACATATTAACAGCAATCTAGCTTCATCCTTAGGTGATGCCCAAGAGGAAAAGAGGTACCTCACAGGTAATGAGGAAGTGTATGGGCATTCCCACATTCCTGAACAGCTTATGCATATCTACAGCCAGCCAATTGCCATCCTTCAGACATCTGACCTTTTCTCCACTCCAGAGCAGTTACATACTGCTAAGTCAGCTACTTTGCCGAGAAAGGGACAGTTAGTCTATGGCCAATTGATGGAGCCAGTAAACAGAGAGAACTTCACACAGACATTGCCCAAAATGCCAATGCATTCTCACGCCCAGCCCCCAGATGCCAGGGAAGAAGATATTGTACTTGAAGGTCAACAGAGCTTGCCATCCCAGACTTCAGATTGGAGCCGATATTCGAACAGCTTACTGGAATCCGTCTCTGTTCCTGGAACACTAAATGAAGCTGTTGTAATGACTCCATTTTCATCGGAGCTTCAAGGAATTTCAGAACAGACCCTTCTGGAGCTATCCAAAGGAAAGCCCTCTCCGCATCCCAGAGCCTGGTTTGTGTCTCTTGATGGAAAGCCAGTTGCCCAAGTGAGGCACTCCTTTATAGACCTGAAAAAGGGCAAGAGAGCCCAGAGCAATGACACCAGCCTGGACTCTGGGGTGGACATGAATGAACATCACTCGAGTAGAAAGCTTGAGAGGGAGAAAACATTCATCAAAAGCATGCATCAGCCCAAGATCCTTTACTTAGAAGATTTAGACCTGAGCAGCAGTGAGAGTGGAACTACCGTCTGCTCCCCTGAGGACCCAGCTTTAAGGCACATCCTAGATGGAGGGAGCGGAGTGATCATGGAGCACCCTGGGGAAGAGTCCCCAGGAAGAAAAAGCACTGTTGAAGATTTTGAAGCCAATACATCCCCCACTAAAAAAAGGGGCAGACCACCACTAGCCAAAAGAGATAGCAAGACAAATATCTGGAAAAAGCGCGAGGAACGCCCGCTGATTCCCATAAATTAACTTTGAGGGTATTTGTGTCTCTGCTGTTTCGTGCTGTTTATTTTTGCTCCTTATTGTAAATTGCAGTATGAACTTCAAAAGAGGTTGAGCCTGAGCAATCTTATGGTCCCTGAACATGTCTCAAGCAGAGTAAATAGTAAAACGGTTATTCAGTAATCAGAGAGAAAGATATGAAGGGAAGCTTTTTCTGTCCTATTCTTGTCATTTATTTTTGGGTGATGAATTTTAAATATCAAAGTTTTCAACATGTAAAATAGTGTCGAGATGTTAGCTATCTGCAAATGTTGCTCAGTCAGCCAGTTTAGCCCTGACTCTCTTAAAAACAACATAGTGAAACCTGTACTCCTAAAGCTGCTTCCAAAATGTTGCGTCTGCCTCGATGACTGCCCTGTGGAACACTGAGAAATGAAACTGTCGTCTTCAGGCGTCATATTCTTGTAAAATGTTACAAATTATGTTCCCTTCTCCCTATCCTTGAAAATAACTTGATAAATGTTCTGGACTGATGTTATTATACAGTTTAAAGACCAAACAACATTTTCTTTGAGATAAACAGCGTGTGTATTGTATTATCCCGAAAGTAAATCCTACAATCACATAAGATAGGCAAAAAGCTACTTGGTCGTTAGAATTGTCATCTTCTTAGTTATTTTTGGATATAACTTCACAGAATAAATAAAGTATTATTTTGTTATTTAGAAGTTTGAGAATGAATGCTCTGATATGGAATTATTTTAAGTTTTCTTCCCTCCCCCCTCAAAAATGAGGGGAGCTTAACTGTCAAGGAAAACATTTTACTAATCCGAAAAAACCCAAAAATCTGTGACTTTAAGGCTCACTGATACCTGTAGGGTAAAATCAGTTCTTTTATTCCAAAAAATAAAACTTAGTCACTTAAAGGGTATCAAATTTGATTTTTAAAAAAATAATGTGAAAGTTTCTTATACACCAAACTATTAACTAAATATGAGGAGATAAAGGCAATAAACACTTCGATTTTTTAAATGTTGATGAGCAGAAAAAGAAATGCCCTTCTCCTGAGGTTCAAAAATACCTTCAGAAAATTAGTTGTCTATCCAGATGTTGACATTCATAAAAGACATTTGGTGAAAACAGTTTCAATTTCAGAGGAAAAGTTTTCCTTAAATCACTTGTAACATTTGCAACATTTTTTCCCCAGTTTTGAAAGCATCATAGCAAAGAATTCAGTGTGAACACAAACATGTTCAACAGCTGTTTTTAACTATAAGTGTCTTTACCGAATTATCATTGAGATGTTCTAAAAATCAAAGCTGTTAATTAAATTCAGCTCATCCCACTTCTGTTAAAATTTCCATGAAGGCAAATGTCTGAAGCACCTTTACCTTTCCCTTGGGGAAAAATGAAATTAAATTGCTTTATTTCTCATTCCCTACTATTCAACATGGGAGCAACATAGGGACCCAAGCCAAGTAAACAAGTTGAAAGAACCAAAATAGCCACATTAGCTTTAGTAAAATTGTAGATAGATGTAAAATAAAAAACAGCTTTTTCCTGCAAGATAGTAGACTTCAGCCAATTTTTTTTGGTAACCACTTCTGAAACATCTAACTTGTCAGACATCTCTCCCACCTTTCTGTGTTAACCCAAAGAACATAAAGACCTAGGCAAATGTTTTCTATATCGTACTTTAATCCATAGAAGAGATAAATGTTTTGGGTAATATCTAGGCTTATTATTATCACTATTTTTTTGAGTGAGGATAAGGCTCACAATTATAGGAGACTTCTTATTGGTCATATACAAAAAGATACATTAAAACAGCATGAATGAAAATGACTTGGAAAAGATTAAGAAATTAGTGCTCTGCTGAAGTGCCTTTGATACAGACTTGCATTATTAGAAGGTTATAACAACATCTTTAAGTGTGCATTTTCTGTTAACTAAATTAAATGGATGTGCAGTTTTTAATTAAGAAAAATAGACCTAGTGTTTCACGTTGGAACAATGAATTTTGCATGTAACATTTATCTCTTTTGTGTGTTTAATCCTTTTGAATCCAGTATATATCGATAAATGGTTTATGTTGGAATGAAGTTAGAAACTATATGGCAGTATACACTTTTAAGTGTATATTTTGTCTATCTTTAAATAGGAATGTTTCACCTCTCAGTAATGAAGTACACATATTGGTATACGGGTATACTGTTCAGGTATGCCACTTATTTTATTCACTCTTGGGTAAGGGAAATTAGACGATGTATCCCAAGGGCTATTCTAGAAATGTTTGTTTGGTTTCAGAATAAAACATTTTCTTTTTTTTTTTTTTTTTTTTTTTTTTTTTTTTTTTTTCT